TATTGAGAAGCTGAACTCCTTACTTATCTTCAAATAGGAAGTTGAAATTGAAACCCAAAAAATAAATGAAATCTTTCTAGGTTCAAGTACAGAAATTAAGCTAGAAAAAAGAAAACTCTAAATACAAAGCTAATATGTTTAAGTCTATTAGCAGAAGCCAAAGCTCTTCTCGAATTAGTATTTAAAGCAAACAAAGCTATTTGCTAGTTTACTGAAATCTTCTGGTCAAACTTTTTTGAAAAACTATAGAAATTCTGATACAAAGTTTTTTTAGAGTAAGAAAAAAAAAACAATATAGATTCTAAGAAAAAAAGGAAAAAATGAAAGTATAAAGACCAACTCGAGCAGAAAAAGTATCGAGTAGAAAAGAAAAATCAAAATCTTTCAGAAAAGGAGGCTAATAAATTACCTAATGCTAAAAAGAAAAGAATCCAGAAGGAAGCTAAAAATAGAATTGATAAGTAGATCATAGAAAGTATGAAAGAAAGTTGGCTAAGTTTTAAAAATAACTAAATAGGCATTCTTGATATAGCACATAGTAGCCTTTTGAAGATTCTTAGAATATAACCCTACTTAGGTATTCTATTCTTTGAAGAGGAAAATTTACTATTACAGCAGATTACACTTGAACACTTTAGATAGCTGAGTGAGTCCTAAATTATATAAAGAAGATATTTTTATAGTTAAATTAGTTTAGCTTATATTTTTGTTATAACATTTTATATGTTTTCTCTTAATAAATAATGAGCAAGATCGTCTAAGTAAAAAAAAAAAAAAAAAAAAAAAAAAAATTTTTAACTATTTAGTCTTGAACAGAATTATACGTTTAGATTATAATTCTTATGAGATGTCTTTTATTTTCTTTTGTTTTGTTTTTGTTTTTATTTTGCTCTTTTCTTTTTAGCTAGTTAGGTTTTTAACTTGTTAGCAAGTTTTTTTAACTTTGCTTTGAATATTAAATATAGTATATAGCCTTGCTTTTCACTATATATAGCAAATTTATTATAATTTTATCAATATCTGATTTCTTATATAGTCAGACAATATTGTCTAGACTTATCATTTTCTTTATATTAAAGAAGTTTTTAGTATAACAGATTACATTTAGACATGTATATAAATAAATATCAAGCAATATTTCTATTAGAAAATTAAATATATAAGAGAGAAACTATAGATTCTTGTTTTAGTTAAATCTAATATAGACTAGCTATAGTAACTCTTTTGTCTAATAAATGCATAAAGTGTAACTGTTAAAAAAAAAATATATAATATAATAATAAAATAGCTAAAAATCTATCCTATAACAAAACTAAAATTTTTTTTTTTTATAGAATGAGGCCTTGTCTTGGATTTTATTGAGTTTTATAATATATATTGTGTTACATTAATGAACTACTATTATCTAAGCTAGGGCTAGTTTACCTCTCAGCCTGTACTCTACTAGAGTAGGCCATCAGCCTCATCTAGATTTGTAATTGGATTTTTGCTATAAATGTATCAGTAATATTGTATTTAGTATAGACTTCAGACTATCTTTTTGTTTTATCTTTTATTATTTAGACCTTTGCTTGTTTGGTAGTAGGACTGTTGGTAGTTTGTGAGGTAGTAGTCTATGTGATAGTGTTGTTGGGTTTAATAATATTAGATAGTTGTTGGCATCATGGAATCCAGATCTGTTAGTATGCTTTGTGTATGATCTTGTGTAGGAGATGAGCAGAGTACGATATGTCTTTGCTTTTAGCAGTTAGACTTTAAAAGAGGTGAGTAGTAAAAGCTATTGGAATAAAGCCATAAAGAATAGTATGTGGGTTGTTAGAGATGTTTTCTAGTTGTATCTTGAGATGCTGTAGGGAGGTATGGATAATATCTGCAATAGAATCTTAGTTAGAGAGTTTGATATGTTTATTTATATATTTGATAGTAACTGTTTTGATGATAGTTAAGATATTGTTAAGATTTTTGTTACATGTAATCTAGTAGTGGTTAGTTTCAGTAGTTGTACTGTAGCGTTGATAGATATCTGTATTTGTTTTGTTAGGATAGTGGATTAGGAGGTTTTGTTACGTTGGGAGTTTATCTAGTAGAAATTTTAGTTTGAATACTTTTAGTGTAAAGTATTTAGGTAAAGTGTAGAGGCTGTTAGGAGTGTTGTAAACATTGATGTATTTATAGAATGTATTCCAGTCTGTATTAGTGATCATATTGTTCTAGTTTTCTGTACGTTTTTGTGAGTGCCAAGTTGTGATATAGTTGGCTTGTTGTATATGTTTGATAACAGTTCATATCCTGTTGTCAATTATGTTTTGGTGAAGATGAGGTATAACTATATTATAGTCGATATTAGTATTAAGAAGGACAAGGTATGGTATACTAGAGAAGTTAGTATATAGTAGGTTAAGTTGGTCTGAGAGAACTATTTGTAGTTTGATATCTGTTCGAGCAAGTATGATAAAGATGAGATGCCAAAGTGGCCAATGTTTATTTTTCTGTAGTTTGTTGATTTGATGTGATGTTTGTTAGTTGAGTAGATTGTAGGTATTGATAATAGTATTTGAAGATGTAGCTATGGTGAGTGTACAATCTAATGGAAGAGTAATAAGTATGGTAATTATTGCAATGCAGATTATTCTTGTATGTGATTGCCATTGAATGATTTGAGCAGTGAAGGTATCTTTGTTATTAATTTTCTATGTAAAGTAGGTTTTTGCTTGTATAGTTTTTGATGAGTTGCAAACTGTATCTATGTTAGCTGTGTAGTGGTGTTGCTTAGTAATTGTAGATTTTGTTTTTTGTAGTAGGTCTGTTGCAGATCTATTTTGGAATATAGTAGTCATAAGATTAGGTTCACTGTGTGTATATAGTATGTTGGTAGTGTTGTAGTTGTTGCTTTGGATAAGATGAGCTACATATATATCAGTGATGTTAGATTGAAGTAGGTATATGCGAAAAACATAAATTAATAGTAAGTATTTAGTATTAGTTTGTATAATATAGTGACTAAAGCTATTAGTAGTTGTTGTCAGATTGTATCTATTGCATTTGAGTAGTTTTGGTTTGCTGTGAGTTGGATTATATATCCAGTGCGTTAGATTAGTAGTTAACTATTGGTAATTAGTGCTTTTGCCAATTATTATAGAGTTGCAGTAGATAGTAGTTATCTAGGTCTGATTAGTGAGAATAGTAGTTAGTAGGATGTATGAGTTGGGAAGAGGTGAGTTATTAAAGATGCTGGGTGAAGTGTTATTTATTAAGTTCTTTAGGGTTTCTATTAATTGAGTGAACCATTTAGGTGTTGGTCTGCGAGGAGTTTTGTTAGTAGTATGTGCAATGTGTTGTTGAAACAGAGGTGAGGTATAGTTGTAGTTAGTGATTTGTTCTATAGCATAGAGGTTCATCTTATTAGTTTTAGCTTTAGTTATATGTAGTTGTATACCTTTTCTGATTAGAGAGTCAATGCTTTGTCCTAGAAAGCTATGTGTTATAGGCCAAGAGTTCAGGCCACTTGTTAGAGCGATTCCAAGTTTGTGTATTTCTATGATTATTGTTGCTGTAGTAGTATAGTTGTGTGATGTTGGTAGTATGAAATTTGGAGAGAATAGTATGTTGTGTGAGGTGGAGGCTGCATTTTGAAGTTGCTGAATTCGTATTTGACTTGTGGTATTGTTATTGTGGGTGTAGTCATTTAATAGAGTTATCGTATTAGAAATGTATTGACAAATTTGGCTATCCCATAAGCATTGAAGATTGTAGATTTAATAGTGGTGCATAGTAGAGTTTGGGATTGAAGTAGCTATTCTAGCCTTGTGTTTAACGATAGTAGTATATTTGTTGGTGATGCTATTACAAGTTGATAGTAGGAATATTGTATTAAGGATACGGTAGTTGAATCTTAGTATGATCATTGACTTGATAATATATATATATTGCTTGTCTGTAATTTTTTTTTTTTTGAGAAGTAGCAGTACTTAGTTGATTTCGTATTTGATGATATTGTGTATTGGAGTATGGTTTTTGTATGTTGTGAAATAGCATTCTAGGAATCTAAAGGCTTTTTTAGATTTTATTGAAGTTAGTATTGTATTATTGAAGTGAATAGTATTTTTTAGGTTATTGTGATTGTTAGTACAGAGGACGGACTTTGTTGGGTTGACTATAATTTTAGTAAGCTTGTAAAAGGATGAAGCTGTATCAACTATTTCTTGTAAGTGGTGTTGTGTAGGTGCGATCTAGAGGGTATCATCCATGTATGCTAGAACTAGAATATTAAATTTAGTTATCTTGTTTTGTAGTAAAGTTAGGTTTGTATCTGATATCATCATATATTCTGAGTATTTGTTGGTAATAGTGTTGAGTAGTGGATCATAATATATGCGCCAGAGTATGAGTGTGATTGTTTCATAACAAAACTAAAATTTATTTATATTTTTTATTATTTTATAGAATATTAAAAATAAAATAATCAAATTTGTAATATTATTAATTAGCATAATTTTTTTATTTATTTAAAGGTTTTAAATTATATTTTATTATCTTTAAAAAAATCAATTTTATTATTAGAAAGTAGCTATACAATACTTAGAGACTATTGAGGAAATTCTAGAAAAAAGGTGAAGTCACTTAAGAAATTTCAAATAGAAGCCTAGTTCTTAGTAGTATACATAGAAAATAGCATTAAACATATAGATCAAATAGTAAATAAGAAGATATCGAACAGAGAAGAGATGATAAGAATGACTAAGAAAATAGCTGAGAAATACAGTAAAGAAATTTTAGCTGAAGCAAACAAGTTTGTAATAGGATTTAAAGAATATATAGATAAGATAGTAGCAGGAATCATAAATATAAATAGTAAAGTAGTTATAGTAGCAAGAGAATAAAGAAAAGTAATTAGAAGAGTAGCAATGCATGAAAAAATCAAGAAAGTAGAATATAATCTAAAACAAGAAAGCAACAAAACAAGCAATATTCCTAATGAACAAGAACTAGAAGTAAATAAAATGAGTATAGAAACAACAAACACAGAGGAATCACCTAGTTTAAAGCTTATAGAAGTAGAAATGACCTCAGTTGAAACTCAATGTAAAACAAAAGCAATAACAACAACTAGAAATGTAGCAAAGAGTATAGAAGGAATTAAAACAACTCAAGAAGATGTATTAGATTTAACAAAATCACTAGATGATAGTATATAGGTACTAATAGAAGAAAGATACAAAAAAGGTCTGGTGATCTTAGTGTAGTGGTTAGGTTGTCAGACCGCTATGCAAGAGGTCTGGGGTTCAAATCCCACTGTCGATGAATTTGAATAATTACTCAGACCTTTGTATCCAACTTACGGAAAACTCTGCTCGTTTCTGGGGGTTACAACCCTGTAAATCACATTGCACCAATGTCAATTGGACATTGGAAATGTGACACAATGTTCAAGTTACGTTGTATGAATAAATTTTGATAGGATCTACGAGCAAGGAACCTGCATGGTAGAAATCTCGAGTTTAGTGAAGTAGTATGGATTTCGATAGTCAAGCCGGTTAATGCCTGATCCAGTGAAAAACTTGAGTACGAAGGATATGAGATCAATAGATGTGAGTAAGTCTGCTGTGTAATGCAGCCTGGTACCTTGCATTAGTGGCAACACCAACTTGGCTTGGCAGCTAACTAGATTGGGAGGATCTACTTTGTGAAACATCTGGCTGGAACTTGGAAGACTATATCTGGTAGACAGCCATAGCAGGAACTGGGTTCGTACAAACATCGACAAGGGTCTAATCCAGGTGAATCTGTGAAATGGGCATATGACCAATCTGGTAGGAATTACTTCTGAGGTTAACTGGAGCTCTGCAGCTCACAATACATTAGGCATACGCATCCCAAGAGGACCTAAGCTATGCAGAGAATAGATCCATGGGTGAACTGGCTAGCTTAAGCAGTTAGTCATAGTAGTGACGTTAGTTTAGGATAGGGGGAAGGGTTAATGATCAGAGTGTTTAAATAGGTAACTCACAGGCAGGTTGCAGGTATGGCAGCATAGTGT